TAAAACTGCCCCACATGCTCCTGTATTAGGGCTCTCTGATAAACCTGAAGCAAGTAGGATTGCTGCCTTGGGCTGCAGTTGTTCCAGTCTAGCCCCTTCTCCCCCCCCACACTTTCTGGAAATAGTTTCACCTATCTTGCATGCCTCTTTGGGGGATGTTGTGCAAAGTTGGATTAGGAAGGATTGAGCATGAGCCAGCTTTCCTCCCCGCTTTAGGCTGATCAGAGTACTCTAATGCAGAAGTAGTGTGTGCACGTGCCACAGCCCTTTCCAGCTTGGCTGTGCAGTAGGCACATGTGGAAGTTTTATCTGAAGGCAGCAGTACACAGTTGAGAAACACTGAGATAAGCTGAGCATAGTGATTCTTAGCTGGGGGTACTGCCACATTCAAAAACGTTGTGCAGGGGTGGTGTGACTCTGAAAAGGTTGAGAACAATTCGCCTAAATGATCCTTCCTCTCTCAATTGAAGGCTTTGAAGACTGATTAGATTAGATTCCAATGCCTTGTAAAATCTGTAGTTCTGCAAGCCTACAGAGAATCCCCAGTATTAATAAAATGAAAACTTGGTATTTCTAATGCAAGAATATGCATAAATATAAACAAACAAAACCCTGAAGTTTTCTTTACTGCATAAATTAGTAATATGGAAATATCATCTTTATTTTTTAAGAGACGAGACAGAGAGCTTAAGTAGGCATGAGTGCAGCCAACTGAGATAAATTATAGCAAACTGAAGTCTGGGTTAATATTAGCCAAAAAAAGTCAGACCCATGCAATCAGAAAACTGGTTGGAAGGGCAGTTAGATTAAGTGTATGAGTTAATATATTATAACTGACTAACTTTGGATTTTAAATATTTGCAGATTTGTTAAAAACAGAATTTCTTATTGGTGCCAACAGCCTGACTCCATTGGTGTTTAAGAGGAGCTCTGGTATTCTAGTGCATTCTTTTACCTCTGCTTCTGTTGCATTGCAAGCTGTGCTAGAGAAGACATAGGAAATTCGTTTTACCCAATCAGCAATTTAACAATGGACTACAAACCTACAGAGCAAGCCAGTTTGTTGGAAAACAGGAGTTCCTGCAGCGCAGCACTTGACACAGACTATCCAGAGGGCAGAGATTCAAGAGGGTGAATAAATCTGAAACAGTCTCCAGAAGGGGAATCCTAACCTAAAATTCTAATTTGAAAATATTAGCCAATTTAAAAAGCATATTGCCCTTTCTCATTTGAGCAGTTTATCACAACTGGACACTTCAAAACGTGTGTACTGTACTACTAAAAAATCTAATACTTGTCTTTGTTAAGAGTTGTTAATTTTTACCATTTCTGAAAACTATCTGCAGCAAATGTGTATGAACTTGAAATTATCTTACATTCAGTATATCTCAGGTGGTTGAAATAATTGCTTTATAAGGCTCACCTAATACTGCCTCTTTTTTTTTCTCTGAACTTCCCTCCCCATCTTTAATTTACACTGGCACCATTGAAAACAGGCATAACAGTCATACGTATCTAGGTCCTTACCCATACTAAGAGTTGATCTAAATTATTTTTCCACTTACATCCCAGTAGCATACTAGCATCCAGTACACACATCTGAGTGGTGTATCTAGCATCCTAAGTCTCAGGTATGATTGTTTATAGTCTGGTGCCAATGAGAATCAGATTAGATGGTCTATGGTGTAATGATACTCCATTTTCTTCAGTGGCTTATTTTCCATTTCTCTCCCCACACATCCTAGAGAGTATGATTGAAGTAATACTATGCTACAATAACACACTATGGTAAGGTCATTGTATCAGGAAAATCTGCCACTATCTGTTCTATTTTCCCCCTTCTTAATAGTCTCAGTTACATGAATTAACATGAAACGTTTGTAAATTCATGTTAAAGTGTTTGAGATCTCATCTAAATAAATTTTTTATATATAAAAATTGCTCTAATTTATTGACTCTTCTTTCGCTTGTCCTTGCTGATTTGGAATGTCGCTTTCCCTGATAGATCATTGTGCCTGTTGACTTTTTTTTAAATTGTACAGGTCTGGAAGAATCATGTTAAGCATGGAAGGGCTGCAGCAAAAAACTGCTGAAACACTCTCCAGAAAACGCAGACGTTTGTTACTTTGAAATTTGGCTTTGTGTATTTTGTATAAGGGCTTGCCAAGTGCAGTTACTGTTCTGGGAGCAGGTTCTCTGCTTGTGTAAATTGTGATAGGTTCCCTGATCTCTGCCATCTTGCTGTCCCAGAATGTGGTAGGTGGCAATCCATACGTGGTGGGTTACAGAGCTGCTTAGGTAAATCATGCCAGACTTGAGACCGAAGCTTTAAAGGCCCTAAACTGAGACTCTGGAAGTACTTCATAATTCATTGGACTACTAATACTGTAGCATGCAATGAATAAGTTAACTTCTGGGCAGAGCTATCTAGGCAAGCAGAATGGAGATACTGAAGAAGCACTTTAATCTGAAAGCAGATACTGAGGTGACAATTTCATTTGTGCTGTGTGAGCATACTTTACATTCTAGGTGAGTTTTAGCTTGGAAAACAAACTGACTGTCTATCTTTAGTGTAGCAGTTACAGCTAGGGGTACACAGGAAATATTCCATTTATTTATTTATTTTAAATTCTGAATGTTCCCTCAAACTTCAGCACTTGTTTTGATTTAAAAAAATCATCACTTTATCCTTTTAGTGCAATTTCACATGCTCAAGAGTAATAAAGTTCACTACATTGGGTATGTTCACTTCATTTTTTCTTTACAATGTTTTCTGTGAAATATGAATGAATTTCCAATCGGGAATACTTTAAACAAATTTTGGACATGAGTTTGAATTGGCATGATCCAACATACTTGGGAAATTTGGCATGTTCTGGAGTGATAGGACTGCAAAGCAGTCAAGCAGGCTGAATGGCTGTGTTTCTTGGGACAATTCCAGGTAGGTCTCTGAAAGATAGGAACTTTGTTTTTACAGATGTGCTTTTCAGATATCCTTTACATCTGTTGCTGGAAAGGGCAAAATAAAATAACTGAAAATGGTAAAATTGCCAGATGCATAGTGACTCTGAGAGCTAAACTAAAAGTGAAGTTTCATCAAAGGCACATTGAAGTTAGTAGGATTTTTTTGGTTCTACCTGGTGGCAAACATAGGACTAGCAATTTCCACCCAAATAGTTTGGAACAATCTTAACTTTAAACATTTGGAAACTGAATGTTTATATTCTCCAGAACTTGCTAATAGGATGGCTTGTCTTCTCTGTTATCCAAGCACAGGACTCCAGGAAAATGATAACCTTTGAGCTCTTGTGTCAAGGGTGGATGGGAGTCTACTTGATTAGGACATGACTTGCAGTGCTTTATTCTTTTTTGTTGTCTTTTTTTCTTCCCCACTCTATTTTAGTCTATTGTTATTTGTGGTTTGGGGGGTCTTTTTTGTTGTTTTCTCCCCTCTTCTCCCCCTTTACCGTAACCACCACTTCATGAATCTGATGAGCATGGCTGTTGGATCAACTTGGCTTTTTTCCTGGGATTCTAGACTTTTAAGTGCATTTATCTAAGCTTTGCTATTCCTGCAACTGGTATGAAAACTCGTATGTGACTGATACTGGTATCTTTGATGCTCTTCATTCTTATAAAAGGAGACCTTGTACAATCTTGTGGGATGCATTTTCATTTGCTATTTGTTTAGCAAATTAAAATTACTTTGTCAACAAACAAAATAGCATCTTGCATTCAGGGATATAGTTTGTAGTTGTGTTAGTCTAAGGACATAGGCAGACAGTGTTCTTTGGGTAAATCTAATATCTTTTATTAAACCAACTCAAATAGTTGGAAATTTTTTTCTCTTAGCAAGCATTCGGGCACAAACACCCTTCATCAGGCTGAGGAAGCGTCTACAGATGGTCTGTGCTCTTGCATGAAGTGGTAAAGCAGCCAGAGGCCAGTAAGTATGCAAGAAAGCCAGTCAGTTAAAATGTAAATTGAGGTGGTTAGTAGGTGAGAGACAGGTGGGGAAGAGGGAATGAATGTAGCTGTAGTCAAAGTATCATATACAAAAAATCCATAGACTAAATATAGATACTGGGTTTATGACACGTTATAACCTGCCTGACATCTGACTCCCCAGGTAAAGCCTCTACTTCTTACCAGCTAGTCTCATTCCCTTATCACCTATGTGCATTGCCCCCCCAAATCTCTCCCCTACTGACCACCTCAATTTACATTTTAACTGCCTGGCTTTCTTGCACACCTGGCTGCCTTACCACTGCTTTAATGGTTTGTGTGTGTGTGTATTTCCAATGTCAAGCTTAATTGTGGATATCTCATTTGATTAAATACTGTTGTAATAACTTGTAAGAATGCAGCAAGTGGAGACTTGCTTTTAGGGTGAAACAGGTAAAAAAAAAAAAAAAAAAAAAAAAAAGGC